GGGGGTCCCTGGGCCCGGCTCGCGGCCGCGCTCGCGCCCCCCGCGCCCCCCGCGCTGCGCCGGCCCCGCCCCCCGTTACGTCATCAGGTGCGCGACCGCCGCGAGGGGCGGGGCCGGGGGGGCTGAGGGGAATTTGGGGTCACCTGGGGAGAATTTGGGGTCACCCGGGGGGGGTTGGGGTCACCTGGGGAGAATTTGGGGTCACCCGGGGGGGTTGGGGTCACCTGGGGAGAATTTGGGGTCACCCGGGAGGGGTTGGGGTCACCCGGGGGGGGTTGGGGTCACCTGGGGAGAATTTGGGGTCACCTGGGGAGAATTTGGGGTCACCGCGATGTTCAGGACCCCCCTCCCCCGAGCCCCCTGTGGCCCTGAGGGCGGGGCTGGGGGCTCCCCAATTTCCTGGGACCCCCGGGGGGGCGGATTTGGGGTCACTGAGGGGGGGTTTGGGGGTCCCCGAAGCCCTGCGGGCGGATTTGGGGTCCCTTGCCGGGGATTTGGGGTCTCTGGGGGGGGAATTTTGGGGTCACCGTCCCCTGGGTGCCCCCGCCGGAGTCCTGGGGGTCCCTTGAGAGGAATTTGGGGTCTCTTGAGGGAAGTTTGGGTTATTCTGGGGTGATTTGGGGTCGTTGAGGATGATTTTGGGGTCTCTGGGGGTAATTTGGGGTCCCTTGAGAAGAATTTGGGATCTTTGAGGGATGATTTGGGTTATTCTGGGGGTGATTTGGGGTCTCTGGGGATGATTTGGGGTCTTTGGGGGATGATTCGGGGTCTCTGGGGATGATTTGGGGTCTCTGGGGATGATTTGGGGTCTTTGGGGGATGATTTGGGGTCTCTGGGGACGATTTGGGGTCTCTGGGGATGATTTGGGTTATTTAGGGATGATTTGGGGTCTCTGGGGACGATTTGGGGTCTTTGGGGGATGATTTGGGGTCTTTTCGGGGCTGCTCCGGCCCCCCCCAATCTCGATCCGGGGTGGGGGTCTCCCCTCATTTCCCCCCTCCCCAATTTGCAGACGGAGCTGCTGCTGCTGCTGCTGGAGACGCCTCGGGCGCTGTGTGGGGAGGGGTCCCAGGGTGGGGAGGGGTCCCAGGGTGGGGAGGGGTCCCCGGGTCCCGGGGGGGCTCTGCTGGAGCTGCTGGCCGAGCCCCCCGCGCCCC